ATAGATGAACCCAAAGTTCACCCACTGCTAACAAATGGAAAAGAACGCTTAATTAAAGTTTCATTTCTCTTACCTTTCTCTTTCTTTGATCTACCACCCCCACACCGACTCATTCTGTAAAAACTGAAAATTTATGAAGAACCGAAAACGGTAAGGACCAATAAAAATTCTTACAAATGCCTATCTAAACTCCATGTAAAACCCTAAATTTTGACATCTAGTTGAAAAATAATGAACCAATGAAATACAGCCAATTCATACGTGTCACTCATGCCCATCGACATACAGGCAAGAGAAAATCGACCTCTAAAATAACAGAATCCAACGCGTCGTTGTCGATATTTTATCTAATAAAAACGTGCATAACATAGCACATTAAATTTTTTATTCAATTAGGGTCTTAATTAACAAATTATTCTCATTAATATTTAGCTATTATTTCTTCTATTAAATTCCAATAAGTAACCGATATTAATTTCAATAAAATTGGCAGTCAACATATACCTTTCTGTTACGTCAGCTTTAAATCTCATCCTGGGTATGATGATAAACTACATCGGGCAGCAAAGCCTCTGATCTGGAGATTGGAGCTTTTGATGTGCATAGTACTGCATCTTAACTGCCGTTGTTCCCAGGTACACACTGACTCTGAATGGTAGCACCTGTTAGGTAAATGGTAATCTCCCTAAAATCAACGATACATTTGTATTGCAAAATAGCAATCAATGCAACACTAAAAATATGTAAAAAGATATTTTTTATAGTAAAATTACCAACCGTGCATTTTATAATCTACATACTACATATCTAAAAAAAAACATACCTTTACTCTGAAATTATCAAATTATGTACAAAATATCTGTAGTTGGAAGCTTAAAATTACGTACAAAATATTTAGATGTCGACATTAAATAACTCATAGAAGTAGACATGCCGCTAAAGAAAATCAACCAAACAGCCAAATGAAAGAATTCATGACATTGACTTAAAGAAATCAAACTGTATTCCCAAATATGACTTCAATAAAACAGCATAAAACACATATCACCGCCACTAGTAATCATGTCCACACCAACATGTATATTCACAAAAGCTGAGTATCATCTACCATGTATTCAATTGTGAAAGCAGAATAACATATATCATATTTTTATTATTTCAAAGCTCCGAAGAAAATTAAATTTTAACATTAAATGACCCATAAGGAGTTTATATGCCGTTAAACAAACTTCAGTGAACATTATTACGCGCGCAAGATGTATATATGAATAGATATTGTGTTTTATATATTATTATTTTTAGAATAAAGTTGTATATGTATAATATAACAGCATTCCTAAAGTCGTCCTGGATATGAGGATAAACTACTTCCGGCTGATAGGGAAATTAGAGGTTTTGTGGTGCGTGAAACCATTTCTTAATTGCTGCTGTTCCCAAGTCCATCCTGATTCGGGGTGGCAGCATCTGATAAAGTCCCAGCTTCGGACAAATAGTGAAACCCTAAGAAAAACTCAACAGCACATTTTTATAATAATATTAACAACAATACATTTTTATAGAAAAATGACAATCAATGCAACACTAAAAAAATATAAAAATACATTTTTATAGTACATTACCAACTATACATTTTATGATCTACAAACTATATATCTAAAAAAACATACTTTTACTCTGAAATTATCAAATTATGTACTAAATATCTGTAGTAGGAAGCATAAAATTACATCTGTCTATATTTCTGAGATGAGGTATTGTAATTATTTACATTGTTCGGACTGTTGTCCTAATCTTTATTGTCATGTTCAGGACGTTTCGACCGTTGTACGATCCGGCCTTCTTCAGGCGACTGGAAATTCGAGCTGAACCTTATATTTCGTCCACCCCTTGAGTTAAAGGGAGATAGTTAAGGAAGATAACTGAGACAACCGAAAAAGTCATGGCACGTGGAACTAGAATAATGGATCAAATAAAGGGTTCAATTCCAAATTCCAATCAACTGAAGAAGATCGGGGCGTACAACGGCCGAAACGTCGTGAACATGACAATAAAGATGAGGACAACAGTCCGACGAATGTAAATAATTTAAATAAAATTACGTACAAATTATTTAGATTTCGGAATTAAATAACCCATAGAGGTGTTGATATGCCGCTAAACAAAATCAGCCAACTTGCTTTCAATAAATTCTTAAGCTGCTGTTTTGCAAAATACCCTTCATGGTAGGTGATTTCCTTTTTTTTTTTGCATATATGTATGCAAACTGTCTCACACCGAAAAAATCACTGGCTGTGTGTATCCTGTTGGTCCCACTGTGAAAAAACATTTCGAACTTTCTTTATGGAAAGTGTTGTATATCAAAACACTTATAAAACTGGACTTTCATTACAACTTATACACTTTATCGAAAATAAATTTTATTCTTTTCATTTATTTCTTTAATATTGTTATCAACTCGTAAGATATACTGCGTATGACCACATGACATAGAATACGCCGGATTGTATCTACAGCGGAGTTGCACGACAATCGAAAAGGCCGAACCTCAAGGTGATAATTTAAAAGTCAAGTAAAAATCTGGCTAATGTTTATCGATAGATTCAAATATAAACTCATGTAATGTTAACATATCGTCTCAAGTATAAACTTGAGCAATGTCTTCGTATAAACTCAAGTATAAACCTAAGCTTTTCCTATAAACTAAAGTATAAACCCGACTAATGTTTATCTATAGACTCAAGTATAAACCTGAATAATGTTTTCCTATTGATTCAAATATAAACCCGACAGGCTAAAATATAAACCCAACTAATATTTATCCATAAACTTATGTATAAACTTGAGCATCGTTTATATGATAGACTCGAGAATAAACCTTATTAATGTTTACTTATAGATTCAAGAATAAAAACAACAAATGTTTGCTTATAGCCTCAAGTATAAACACGATCAATGTCTATCCATTGACTCAAGTATAAACATAAACAAATTTTATTTATCGACTCAAGTATAAACCCGACCAATGTTTACGTTGGTACTCGAGTATAATACGTCGTAAAATCCACCTAATAAACCAGTAGGATTCAAGGGGTTACTGATGATGAAAGAACAAAACTGGGGAAAACCACGACAACGCTAATGTGTGAAAAGGGCAGTAAAAAGAAATAGGATTCAAGGAACTCGAAAATGGGGAGTGATATTGCATTTAAATTTTTGCTCATTGTAGTCGACAGAAAAGCAAAATGCGGGAAGAAAGTTCTGTAGGCGAGAAGTGGGAGAGAAGAAGAGAACTTGCGGTTACATTTAATAATTTCAAGAGTTAAATGACAAGACCTAACTGCCAATCTAGTACTGAGTTTAGATTCGTTAACTCTAGTCACCAATGAGAAAAGTTCATCAGAACAATTACTATAAAAATATTTATAGAAAAGGCACAGGGAAGCTACGTTGCAGCGGTAGGAAAGCGATTGGAACCGAGATGCTAGGTTAGGACATTGCAGATTTCTTCTTTGGGTTTATCAAGAATTTCTAGATACATACTAGAAATGCCAGACTAGTACGCTCTTCAATACAGGGAAGAATAGCGTACTTATAAAGATGTAACATAGATTCTAGCAAGAAAAATGACTAGCACGACACAGGGAACTAAATTACTTATCTTCAAACTTAGCAATTATTAGCTCAGTATAACGTATATATCTGGCTACTCGTATTCGAGGATACCCGTCTACTAAGGACGTCCTGGGTAAGACGTTAAACTACATCCGCGTCTTGGGTAACACGATAGACTACATCCGGGTCCTGGATAAGACGATAAACTACATCTGCGTCCTGGGTAAGACGATAAACTACGTTTAACAGCAAGGCTTCTGACCAGGAGGTTTTGAGGAACGTGGAACTACTTCTTAATTGCTGGTGTTCCCAGGTCCACCCTGACCCGGGGTGGTAGCACCTGCTAGGGTCCAGCTATGGGCAAATAGTTAAGTATTACCGGCAATACTTTTTTGGAAAAAAGTTATTACCAGCAACACAATTTTGAAGGAAAAATATTACCAGAAACAGATTTTTGACAAAACAAAATATTACAAGCAATAAAAAGTTTCGTCGGCATTAAATAACCCATTGAGGTTCACATGCCGTAAAACAAAATAAACCAAAACGTCTACTAAGGAAGCTAGCCAATCCCTACTGCAGACGCTTGCTCAGGTGCATTTGTGTTTATTCAATACCCACAAAGCTCGCCTGTGGTTTATACTGCAACTATGCTGAGCAGACCTTAGTTACAGTTCCTGTGAAAGACCGTATTATCTAGCGTGATCAGCAATTTGAACAAGACCAATCCACCGGTCACGATGACTTGTGACTTCGTGTTAGCACAGCTATTAACCCCCAAGGGTTGTGTCTAGCCAATTTCACTGACAGGTACTTCAAAGGTGCCGCATGCTGGGACCGACCAATCCAGTCCGATAAAATCAGGAAGTCTCCTTTCTGACAAATCGAACATAGTGAGATTCGAAACCGGGTCTCCTAGTCAGAATGCGAACGCTCTAACCACTTAGCCACTTGCCCATAATAATCCAGTTAACGGAAAGCGTTAAACCGAGGTGTATTTCCCCTGGAGGTTAGCATCAGCCATACTGTTAATTTTCTTTTATTGATTTGTTTTTATGGCTTATCAATTTTTTGCAGGTTATTTAAAGCCAGGAAATAACGAATCACAATCAGAAAGAGTTCAATAATCTTTTTTTGTTTTATACAAGAATTCACCCACTCGAGGGCCACTCAAGGCAGAAAGTTGATTGCTTGATTTGTTTTGTATTGCTTATCAACTCGTTGGAGGTTATTTAAAGCTATTATTATTTTTACGCGATAATAATTATTTATTGATGCACGTTCTACTATTTAACCCATAGTTGTGTAGAAAGAGTTGGATTTCTAACTTTCATAAGCTGACTAGAATTGGGACTAACCTCTCCATGACACTACCCACCCATGCAAGCTCACAGCACCTGGTATTCCCAGGCAGCCACCCATCTAGGTTCGGACCAAACTCAACGTTGCTTAACTTTGGGGATCAGAAGAGAAGCGGTGTTTCAACGTGACATGGCAGTAAGCCCATGCTGATAGAATTTAAAAAGGGTTTTTCTAATAAAATTAAAGGAGAACAGTTTAGTTTTGGAGGCATTAAAATTAAGAAGCCATTGCTTGCTCCGGTTAACAACAGATTGAAGGTCATTTTCAAGATTAGCAGCTGATTTCACTTTATCCAACCTGTCATACATATCATGAAGTCAATTTAAATAATTGTCTGATCGGTACAGATACCAAGTTGAGGACGACATCGGGAATGTTATTGATAAAAATTAGAACGAACCCTGGAGGATGGCCACATTTCCAAATTGGTGAATTTCTAAATTTTTAACAAAGTATACCGAGAAAATATGTTGACAGTGTTAACAAATCCTGTCTATGATATCACGGGTTTCAAAAGTATATATAGAATTTCAGTTCATTTTCATGGAGTAATTTATTGGCATAGAAAGTAGAATTCTCGAGCTGAGTTCAGATTCTGGCTTGGTTCGTTGCCTGTACTTTTACACTAATGCCCTTGTAAAAGGCAGGGATACGTCTATTGACATCCAGATGTGGGTTAAGTAGTGGCATAACTCATCTCTTGGACAATTTTCTAGATTACCACAGTGAAACAATTTTCTTAGCAGCAAACTATTACATTGTTGTTTTCTTTAACTTTCTTGTCATATTAACAACCTTTCAGTCGTTATACTCTTCGGCCTTCTTTAGATGATATACGTTGGAATTTCGAACCAAACACTTTATTTAGTTGACTTGGGTAGATTGTTCTAGTTCCACCTGCCAGGCCTTTTCTGGATGATTCAGTTTCAGTTAATTCCATTCGATAACTCAACTCTCCAAGTATCTGTTCACTTCTGCTATGGCCAGATATTGAACTCACAACTTTTTGGTTCAAGTTACTGGTTTACTTCAAACAACATTTTTATCCACTGGGTCTCTAGGGACATTGAAAATATAGACAGATGTCGATAGAATTTATATCAATGAAAAACGTTAGATCGAGCGAAATGAGTTACTCTTTCGGAGGTTAGCATCAGCCATGTCGACGGAAGGCAAAAATGGTACCCTAGAACGTTATACTTAATACATTTTTAAAGCATCAGCCAGTACTTATGTAACAAGTTTTTATTTTTTTTGTTTTGAAATTGAGAAATTTAGAAGGAGGCGCGGTGGGGTAATGGATAGCAGCTCGGATTGAGTAATTGGAGAGCCGAGTTCGAATTCCACTCGACTTCGTTAGGCGCTAATACTTACAATACTAAATAGTACTTAATTACTAACAGCCTTGGGAAAGGTAAGAAATCCGTTTCTTCTCTCCTCAATCGATAAAATAGCAAGTTGGACTGTGTCTTATAGCCTTGGTAGTCAACTAGTCTAGAAGAAAACTTCTGAATTGGGTTAGGTTCCCCAAGACAAGCATCGGCTGCAATACATGTGGTGACCTTACGGGACTTGTGAACAAATTTTTCACCCTTTTTTTTTTTGTGCCTCAGTCAGTCAGGTGCCATGCGTAATACACGCTTAGGCGATCATGTATCTTTCGATACATGACTGACGAGGTAGATTTTTTTTCCTGCACTAGGTTGCCATTTCTTTCAGCGGTAGACCAGTTGTCATCCAAGGCTATAGAACCCGGTATGTCCTGCTATTTACCCATAGCTAGAAGAGGATTCATATCTTTCACATAGCACGTAAATGAATGGATTCGACTGGAATTCAAACTCGGCTCTCCGATTCCCCAATCCGAGCCGCTATCTATTAGTCAGCCGTGTCTGACTTCGTTGATTAAAAAGGTGGAAACCATCGCGGAATAATGGTCATAACGACTATAGTAAGTTTGATCTTTACTTAGTACCCCGGACTATTGATCTGCTCTGCCGTGGAGTAATAATTAACCAGATAGTGTCGTTTTCATTTCTACTGTAATACAATGTATGAGTAATACTTTTGGACCTGTACTGTAGGAACTTAAACTAAGTGGATATCAATGTGCGACACCAAAATAGCCATGATTGAAAGCTTTTACGATGAGTCAATGTGGCGCCTACGCCAAAGAATTATATTTTTTCTCATATCGACGCACAATAAAATGACGTCACATTATCACAACCCCCCACCCTCGCCCCTATTTCGCTATGTAATATTTTTTCACTTTCATTCTATCATTTTGGGTTTTATGTATTTTTTTTTTTACTTCGATTTCTTTGTTTATTTGCCTTTCTTACTTTTTATTCTTTATCTTTTGGTGTATTATTGTTTCTTTCAACTCCAGATTTATTCTCGATTTCTTTCTTTTTTCATTCTTTCTTTATTCTTTCATTTTTTTTTTTTGTTTTCTTTTTTCTCGCAACAAATTTTCTTTATTTATTTCTTTTGTATTGGTTCTGTATTTCTTCTCTTTAGTTACCAAAACATTTGCTTTCTTTTTTCTTTCTTTCTTTCTTTCTTTCTTTCTTTCTTTCTTTCTTTTATGATTTTTAAATATTTTTATTTTCTCCCCAAATTTTTTTCTTTTCTAGTTTTCTGCTAAAATTCTTTCTTTCTTTCTTTCTGTCTTTCTTTCTTTCTTTTTTTAGGTATTTAAATATTTTTATTTTCTCTCCAAACTTTTTCTTTTATCGTCTTCTGTTAACATTCTTTCTTTCTTTCTTTCTTTCTTTCTTTCTTTCTTTTTTTCTTTCTTTCTTTCTTTCTTTCTTTCTTTCTTTTCTTTCTGTCTTTCTCTCTTTCTTTCTTTCTTTCTTTTCGGTATTTAAATATTTTTATTTTCTCTCCAAACTTTTTCTTTTATCGTCTTCTTTCTTTCTTTCTTTCTTTCTTTCTTTCTTTCTTTCTTTCTTTCTTTCTTTCTTTTCGGTATTTAAATATTTTTTATTTTCTCTCCAAACTTTTTTCTTTTATCGTCTTCTATTAACATTCTTTTTTTCTTTCTTTCTTTCTTTCTTTCTTTCTTTCTTTCTTTCTTTCTTTCTTTATGTCTGTCTGTCTGTCTTTCTTTCTTTCTTTCTGTCTGTCTTTGTTTGTTTGTTTGTTTCTTTCTTTCTTTCTTTTAGGTATTTAAATAAACTTATTTTCTTTCCAAATCTTTTTCTTTTATCGTCTTCTGTTAACATTCTTTCTTTCTTTCTTTCTTTCTTTCTTTCTTTCTTTCTTTCTTTCTTTCTTTCTGTATTTCTTTCTGTCTTTCTTCCTCTCTTTCTTTCTTTCTTTCTTTCTTTCTTTTAGGTGTTTAAATATTTTTATTTTCTCTCCAAACTTTTTTCTGTTCTCGTCTTCTGTTACCATTCTTTCTTTCTTTCTTTCTTTCTTTCTTTCTTTCTTTCTTTCTTTCTTTCTTTAAGGCTTTTAAATATTTTTTTTAATTTTATTTTCAAACTTTCTTTTTTATCTTAAGATTTTTTATTTTCTTTCCTTTATCTTGTCTTTTTTTCGCTCAAATTATTTTCTTATTTCTTTTGAGTTTTTATTTCCTGTCTTCCTTCTCCAAACCCTGTAAATTTTCGTTCGTTCGTTCGTTCGTTCGTTCGTTCGTTCGTTCCTTCCTTCCTTCCTTCCTTCCTTCCATCTTCCCTTCCTTCCTTCCTTCCTTCTTTCCTTCCTTCTTTCCTTCATTCATTCATCCATTCATTCATTCATTCTTTCTTTCTTTCCTTCCTTTTTACTGCTTTATTCTCTTCATTTTATATTTCTCTCGTATTTTCCCCCTCTTCTTTTTTGTCTTCTTCTTCTTTCAATTTTCATTCTTCTTTCGTTTCTTTTTTTCATTTCCCTATCTCAAAATTGCTTTTCACACTTGTTACTTGTTACACACCCTTCCTTTCATTTCATTCTTTCCCCTTCACCAAACACCCACCAATCCTCTTTTTTCCTTTTTCATTTCTTAAATTTCCTTCTCAATCTGCGTTTACCTCCTTCCCGACTTCAAATTACACGTTCGCATGCCATCAATTCGCCAATACATTTTCGCCAACAAGTGAAGGGTCAAAGGCCGTTTTCATTTCACATTTTCCTGATGGTCTTCATATTAATCTCAAATCAAGCAGAAAACGTCAATTAATAGGCTCAAGGGTTTTATCTCAACTGCCACTCAGTAAGCAGCAAGGGGCATTCATCTGAAACATCCCATCAAAAAATCCCTGGACTGCATCACGGAACGCTGAGCTTACTAAAGGAACGACGCCCACTTTTTGGCACACGCCACGCATTTTATAACATTCTATTTGATATTAATCTACCATTTGCAAGTGGCCAACTGGTTGCAAAATTTGCATTCCGTTCACGGGCCCCGCGTTCGAATCTCACCATGGCCTTCATTGTGAAGGAGATTACTTCTTGATAAGATCAGTCAGGGGAGACGATTGCAGTGTTTGACAACGTTGGTAACGACATGAAAAGCATACCTCGAAATGCGTGAATTGGTTGTGCCAACACAAAGTTACACATCATTGTGACCGAGGTTTTGTTTAAACTTAGAACACTAACCATAGGTATATAGTACCCAGCGGAAATTTTCCTATTTTTAATTACAATTTTCAGTACCTGGTTTTCTTACCTAAATAATATGTTTTTCAGTTACTATTAATGTTAACTCAAAGTACAAAGTTTGAAGTGCCTGCTTGTAACATATTTCAAATAAAGATTTATATTTAATATTTTTTTGTTGATATTTTCAAAATCGGGCATGATATACCCATGGTTAATAGTGGTGTAATTTTAACCGATGGTTAGTGTTCTAGGGTTAAACTGTTTTTATTTTGTTTTGTTTTTTTGGTTTCTTTTTACAGTGAGGTTCACCATTTACAAGTCCAAGTGGTGACTCGAGTTAGAAGGTTCCGTTTGGACGCCGTTTGTGTGTATAGGAATGGAAGATACTGGTCAACCCTAGCCTTCAACAGGTTAAGATTGTAGTGATCTGGGAAACGTCATGTTGTAAGTCGGTTCTATAGAGCAGGGCTCGGATACCCCCCAATAACCTCGGCCTTGCGCCACCTCTGGCCGGATGAGGCGGTTAGTGAATATCTCCATAGAGCAGTGGTTCGCGGGAAAAAGCTACTCGAGTGGAACTTATTTTTTACCGATAGAACACGGAGGGAGTGTGGGTGGTTTGTTACTATGTAAGTGACATGGCGTGTTCTTGCTGTGATGGTATGCCTCGGCCGGGCCAGGGAATGTAGTTCTTCCGAGCACTTTCCATGAAGCAGTAGAGTAGCGAGAGCCATGTCACACCCCATCGGTGAAAGAGAAGTTGAAGAGTGGGGAATAATTCTTCACCCACAAGGGCTGGGGGACACTTTTGAACGCTATCAATACTGGAGACTGATGTCTGGGTAGCTCCCGTCCAAATCAAAACCTTTAAATAAAGACCGGGCAACGTTGTTATCGTATACAGCACGGGTTGACACGGCAGATCTTAAACAAATACAAACGGGCTGGACTGATAGTTATTGTCAAATATAAATCATGTAGCGGGTTGATGCAAAACTATCCAGCACTATCGCTTATATCTCAATGTAGTGTAAATCTTGGACAATTCACGTGAACAGCTGCACCTGGGTTTGCAAGCGTGGAAACAAAGCTGCAGAAGATAAATCGATCTACAAAACTCCACCGCATCGGTCAGGAGCAGTCTCTCAGATATCGCACGCGAGATTGTACGGGCCGTGTTTCAAGCGAGAGGACCGTGATCGAGCTCTCCCGCATAATGTCCTATATTAATTGAAGTCAGAAGTTGAATAAAATGTAATAATAAATATGATAGATTTAAGTCTAATGTTATCATTTTAGTATACAACCACTTTCATTAAATTCGTTTACAAATCTTGTGAAAATTCAGAAACTAGGAAAATGGCATCATATGTTTTGTACCCTTAAAGAGGTTACAAGTAGACAAACGTGGTACTCGAGTGAAGCAACAGCAACACGCGCGTAGATGAAAGAAAGAGGTTTAATGTAAAAGAGAATACACTACAGAAAGACAGGGAATCGGGTGGCAAGTTAGTAATTCTTGAAGCAGCCCCAGGTATATCCTGTGCTCATTATATATAGTTACTGATATAGTCAGTCCACAAAGGCGATAGGGAGTGTGGGACATTCCATTAAAACAATATGAACTAACGAAAAAGAACATCGGTCCGCGTTTAAAGATTTGTCTTCTTGCCCGACGTAGCAAAATTATTTTTGAGTAAGAGAGTCACTGGTGATAAAAATTGCATTTATTTAGAAGAGTCGGTAACAAAGAAAACCATGGCTTCGGTCAGAACAGCTGTCAACTTTGGAGCAGCGAAAGATACGTTTCAAAAGTTCAGCAAAGTATTAGAAAACAGGAAAACTTAGAAACAGAGAATAGAGTACTGAACTGTTATGTCATATCAGTCTGCTTATATGACAGTGAAAGCTGGTCAGTCTACCAGCTGAAGAATGGACTTGAGGCAATATACTTCTGCAGAAGATGCTGAGAATACCAGAAACTGAATATGGGATTAGGGAAAATAAAAACTAACATTTTGATCATAATATAAATTCTATGCATTTATTTACTACGCAAATACCAAAGTATTACAACACAATGGACCCTCATACGACTGGCTTAGCACATTCTTGTGATGTCAGCAAATACTCGTTGCCACTTTCGTAATGCTCGTCGTAGTAGAGACTATGTAATCGCAGATACAATTATAATTCGCCGTTGAACAATACTGTTAACAGACGCCTTCGAATATCACTTGCACTAATAGTACTTGCTCGATAGTACTCGCTCGAATAGTAATCACTGTATAGTGTTCCGAATAGAGAAATAGTATAGCGAATGGAGAATAGCAGTCTGTATAGTAATAGAATAGAAATTCAGATCCGAACAGTATAGAGGATAGACTAGAAATGGAGATCAATCTAGATGTCATGCGACTTCTTATGTATGCGTTTCCTCTGTGGTCACGTGGTATACTTAATTCAATAATGGGATTACCTGTGTTTGCTCACTGTCGATCTATGTTTAAACTCGTGTTGGCAGCCACACTTTATTGCTATATAAAACACACCCTCAAAAATATTTTATCCAAACGATCTTATCTGACTCTGAAATAACTAGTATTTTATGACCAGCAATAAAATCTTGATATGAAGACTCCAAAGCAACCACCGGTGCCGACAAGTATGGTAAAATTAAAGAAATAAATGAACACTTTCGAAATCAACCCAAGGACACATGGAACAGTGGATAAAGGCGTTAGTTAGATCCACTAACAGGACCCAAAAGTGTGAGTTCAATACCTGGTTAAGGCGGTGGAGAACTTGGTGAGGGAAATTAACAGGAGATAACTGATAACTGACATCCATTAGACATGGCACGTGGAACTAGAGCAGACTAACCCAGTGAGCGAAATAAAGGATTCAGTTCGACATTCCAATCACCTGAGGAAGGCCGGAGCGTACAACGGCCGAAACGTTTTGATAAATATGGCGACAAAGATAAGGACAATAGTCCAAATAATGTAAATAGTGTACATAATACTTCATCTTAGAAATATAGACAGATACTTTCGAAATCAAGTTCCACTCAGTCGAAAAATATGAAATTGTGGTCATGGGCCGATATAATCAGGGTGTATTCTAGAACAGATGTAGAGAGGCAATTTTACGGTCAGAAAGCAGTCGTCCATCGTGATGTGGGGATGAGCAAAGGACTGTAGGAGAAAGTCGATAGACGGTAAGAACAAGACAAATATAGAGTTGGAGTTCTCGCTGGCCGAATGCTAGATCTGAGCCGTTAGTCTGCCTGTAGCCAAGAATGAACTAGAAGCCAATATGCCTCAAGTGCCACTTACCTATCCGGCAAAAAAAAAAAGTGCCAGGTGAATATTTGAATAAAAGAATTCAATGAAAATAGGATTCTTGTTTTCTTTTCTCGCCGTGGGGACATTTTCCAATTTCAGGAAATGTCGTTATAAATTTGCGGAGTGGAAAAATAACATAATGTGATATAAAAGGGGGTGGGGAATACACGAGGGAGGAAAATAAGAAAATCTAATAAACTGTTGGAGTCATTAAATGTGACAGTTGGGAATAAAAAAAAATAAATGTCTTTCAAAGACCTCAAAAAGACGAAACTTAAAATTAAATCGAAAATATTTCTTTAATCTTCTGACAATGTCCTTCTTCTTCAATGTACCGTTTACCTTCAGGACGTTGGCGATCATGGCTCTCCACAACTTCCTATTGTTTGTAGC